TGATAAATATATCTATAGAATGCTTTAAATTACTATTTTAAAACGAAATAATTCAAATCGAAAACAAAAACTCTTTCATTATGTAATCCGTGCATTTTTCTCTAAAGGCACGTCCAATGAGGATGGATAGTCAACATTGACTCATAAAACATTAGTTTATTAACAAATAATTCAAATATCCCCTCACTATTTTTGACTTTTTTTGTTTGTCTTTTATTTTATTATAATTTTTTTGTTTGTTTTGTTTGTTTTTTGGGCTGATGTGCCAAAATTGTGTTTGCATTCAGTAGCCTATACGGCAGCATTTTTGTGCCATGTTTAAAAATAACTAAATAAATAAAATTAATGTCATAATATTTTAAGAATAAAGTTAAAATTAAGATAATAAAATCATGTTATATAATGTGAAAATTCCACCCATAGGCCTACTCCTCCAAAAAAAAAAAAGTCTGTGGCATCCGTCATTCTTTTGACTTTTTTTAAAACTCTGATTGATCGATTCATGAGACATTTGTTTGTATTAAGTTGTTCTGATTTTTTTCAACATGCATTCACATATTTATGTTTATTTCGTGCTGCAAATATTAAAGAAGAAAATATAATTGATTCATATGCAGCTTGAACTGAGGCGAATTATCTCACTACAAATTAAAGAGCGTAAAAAAACGTTTGTTGTTTGTATTTTATCATAAAATTGACAGAAGGCTGAGACTTTGTAACAAAGCGCAAAGCTGCGATTATTGGGTGGCTTGCGTGCTACAAATAATGAATGGACTTGAAAACTTTAAACAACATTTCCAAGCATTAGCCTATAGCCTACCTTAACACATACACATTATTTGCATATGGGCCCGGGGCTGACTTGCTACGCCACTGATGTACCCGCGTTGTAACACAAATAAATGTAAGGTTTTTGGATTTTCCCCTTACTTTAAATGCATGCTTATGGCTCATTATTATTAATCGAAAACAACAACAACAACAAAAACATTAAACTTTGAACTTTTATTAACAAAATAAATAAGGATATGTTTTACCCGCGTTTAACACAAATAAATAGCCTATGGATTTCCCCTCAGGCTACCTTAAAAAGTTCGTAGTTTGTGGTTTATTATCTTATTAATTAAAACACATCAGCCATAAAATAGTACAATGGCAAATTCGCATATATTAAACATCTACCTTTATATATATATATATATATATATATATATATATATATAAAATGGACTATTGGTTAGGCAGGAGACACAGACAGGAGATTCTTGGAAGGCTTTTGCAGGATATCAGTCAGTTCTATCACTGACTTTTTTTCTTTTTTTTCATGTTTCTAACCTTGTTGTTTTAACTTGGCCATACAATTTATTATTATACATTTTTTTTAAATATACGTTTTGACTTTTTCATAGATTCACACTCATCTTGCAATGAAAAAAAGGGCACTTTTTCATTTCATGTTGTCCACAGCAGTGTTTATTGAAATTTTGACAGCAGTTCATTAAAAGCAATTGGTTGGACAAACTGATGACTGATGTTATTTATTTCCCATTTGGCAGATATGTACTTGTACTGTCTGCTGAACATCCACTAGTAGCCATGCTGTCTGTGATGTTGGCCCGTAAGAGTCATTCAACAACATTTCTTAGATTTTCACTTCATTTAGATGGGCCTTATGTGACAGCAGATGAATAGATGAATGTACCTCAAAATAAAATGACAGTCTACTGAAAGGAAATTTATATGCAACAAACAGTTAGTAGAGAACTCTTGAAAATACTTGCGAAAGCAAAAGATCAAAAGTAAGTAACCTTATATTGTTGATTTGATTTTAATGATCTTGTGTTGCTACTTATAGACAACTGAATGTGTACTGGAAGTCTGTTGATACACTGGTTAACATCTACATGTTGACAACTAAAATGCTCTTACTTTGCTGTATAAAGGTACTGAGAACTTGTTGAGGATTTGTTGTGTGTCTGCTAATATGTTGTTGAACATCTACAACCTAAATTGATAACACATGGATAACACTTTACTGACCAAATGTTTAACAGCTCTTTACATGTTATAGACATTATAATGATTGCTACAGAATGTTTAATAGACAATCTACAGATATTACCCTGATGAGAGTAAGTAGATATTTATTATAAGTAACTTATAGTCAGCAGACTATCTATAGGGGAACATCAAAATGAAGTACCAGGAAACGGAAGTGCTTTAATATTGGATTTTAATAGTGTATAAATCACTTTTATTGACAGTGATTGTTCACTTTATTGTTTACATTTAACAGTGTATCCTGGTTCAATTCTCCAATCCTGAAAGCACTCTGAAAGGATACTGGTACTGTTTTTCTGTCAGTTGCCCAAGTTCATACAGATAGATGGAGGAGCCAGGATTGGAGGGATCAGAGATGGCAGAAATAATGAAGAGGACTTTCTGTCCTTCAAATGGCTTTAATAAATGTTTCAAGATATTGACGTTGAATCTCATCTTTGCCATGAGATCAGAATTATTAAACCACTTCCTGATAGATGCCACAGGATACATGCTGTGCTCCCCATCTAGCTCTTTAAACCTGTCAGTTTTCAGGTACTCCTTCAGGGCTGAAAGATACGGATCTTCATACTTCAGAGACGTGAAGGTCAAGCACAACACTCCAAGAAAATCAGGATTAACAAGGATGCTGTTGAGACCATCTGAGTCTTCAATTCGGACCCCTTCCAGTGACTTGGTGACAGAACTCAAGATGTGAAGTTCAGACTTTGCATCATTTAACCACTGTTTAAGCATGTCAGCATTGAACGGAGAGCTCCTGTGGATCTTCAGGATGTCTTCCAGAGACTTCTCCTCCATCTCTCCTCCTCGAAAAGCAGGCAAGACCCTGCCAACTGCTTTCAGTAGCATTGCCTTGTAAATGCTAAATGAGTCCTGAAAAGAGCGCAGTCTCTCTTTAATGTCACTGAAACTATTAACCAGCGTGTTTCGTGACAGGTCATTGAATGTCCTCTCTGCCTCTCCCAGCTCCTCAATTATAGCTTCCATACTGAACTCCACACTTGCACTGATTTCTCTCTCTACCCGAGCTGCTGTTGCATTCAGAAGTTGAAGAGGATGGAGCCAGACTTTTATTGGGACTTCATTCTGTGGATTCTTCAGCAGAGTGGGGAGCTGCTTGTACAGATTCAGGGCCTCCATGTATGTGGTGGGGTTCTGTTGAAGGCGGACGTCACCGTGAAATGTGCAGGCAATCTTCTCAGCCATTTTCTTTTCAGCAGTGGCCATTTGTAAAGCTGCATTTCCCTCAGTGGATAATTTAGGGATCTTTTCAACCATGGCATTCAGGTTTCTCTCCATCTGCTGCTTGTTTTCCTCTTCTGATAGTGTGCGATCAAACACCATGAATGCTTGAGCTCCATACAGCACAGCAACGACCACATGAGTTGCAGTTTTCTGCTCAAACACCCCAGGGTAGGTGATCTTGCGCAGATGGCTCATAGTGAGCTGTTCGTATCTTGTGGTTTCACTGTAAAACATTGTAACTCTGGACTGTTGGTTTGAGGATTTGGTGTCACGTAGGAACCTGCCAGATCCTCCCACCTCCACAAGCCCCCCCAAGAAACTGGCCTTCAGGGAGGCACTTACATCCAGGAGATTGAATTTACTTGAGAGAGAATCAGAGCTACTGAACTCCAGATTTGCCTGGGGCTTTGGACGACTGTCCAGATTTTCACTCAGCGATTTCTTATCCCACAGAGTAACACCTGAAATCAGAAGTGGCTTGAACAGTTACTGTATTCAGTGACTTGGGTTAATTTGCAGGCTTTTTAGTATTTATACACAATGACGGATACGTGTTTATTCAACATGTTTTGAAAAGTGGAATGAAGGAGAAGTTTATTTAAGGTGGTGCAGCACCTGGAATGAAGGAATCCTTGCGGCAGTCATACAGTGTACCAGGGAACAGAAGTCTTCCTAGGGCTGCCACTTCCACTGTCTCTGATGGCAGAGCTGTTGAAAAAAAAATACAAAAACAACAAAGAGAAAATGTAACATTTAGAGCAGGTAAAAAAAAAAAACAATTTCAAGACAAACTTCAATTTAATGTATTTTTTTTATTTTTTTATCATTTTAATTCAATGTTAAACATTGTTAACATAATCTATCAAGTTGTTAGCATGCATTATCATGTAACACGTTTTAACACATTGCTTACACGAATTAACATTTTGCTAACATGTTTTAACTTTTTAACTTAAATTATTATGTTATTGGCACGTTTTATCCTATTGTTAGCATGAATTAGTATGTGGCTAGCATGTTTTAGCACATTACTAGCATAAATAAACATGCTGCTAACATGTTTTAACATGTTGTTCTAGAATAGTTGTTAAGCTTGGCTAGTGATGATAGCTTAAATACTCCATGAGAGTTATTTTACAATAGTTTTTAACCCCTCAATGAAAGTCTATGGGATTTTTGTAGATTTAATCATCTGGTTTATGAAAACCATATCAGATCAGTTAGAAAAGATCAAGCATACTGAGTCAGACCAGTCTAAAGGTCTGTCTTGAGTTTGCTGGTTGTAGCTTTAAAGCTCTAGGACTAGTTAGGGTCAAAACATTTCATTCTCAGAAGAAGAAGCAGTTTAAATAGCATTTCATTATGTTGACTTTCTCAAGGCAACATAACACATTTTTGCACCTTAATGCTAATGAAAATCATTAAATGAATTAGAAAAGACACTCTTGAGACCTGGGTCAAGCTATGCCACCAAGCTGATGAAAGAGAAAAGTGTTAAGAAATCAATGAAATCTTGAACAACATTAAGGAAATCTTTATAAAAGTTTAAGTATTCATAAAATATCATATATTTTTAATGCTAGATGGCACTATATTTGCAAGCTCAGTAGAAACTCTCTAGACATCTGGTCGGTTATGTCTATCAAGTTCTATGCAAATGACAAAGCATTAAAACATAAAAAAATAAAAAACTCATGCTGAAATTCTAAATGACAGGTGACCAACCGTGGCAAAATCACAATTGTCATGTCAGATTCTATATGATGCAAAATAACCATGGATCATTTTTCAGATTTCTTGACTTGTTGGTGGTGCTGTCACCAAAACTGGCAGAAACCCTCGGATCATGGTGCCAATGAAGCTTTCCAAGTTTCATTCCGATACAGAAAAGCATTGCTGAGATGTAGCCTCACTTCCTGTTTTTGGACCAGTGTTGGGGGTAACGCATTACAAGTAATGTGAGTTATGTAATCAATCATATTATTTTTCCAAGTAACTAGTAAAGTTACATATTACTTTTTGTTTTAAGCAAGAAAATATCTGATTTACTTTTTCAAATAAGACCAGCTACTTTGTTTTCTCATTTATTGACAGACAATGTCTTTGTTGCTGACCTTCATTGATCCAACTCAAACATACTAAGCAAAAAGGACTTCAGATAAACATAACATTTATGTTTGACTTTTTTATTGCTGAAGAGTGTTGAACTTTCTTCTCCTGTGTCCTATTCTTCTGTGATCCAGAACAGCAGCACAGCTGAATGGTTTGTTTGAGCAGCGTCCTCTATTTTACACATGTGAATTTATACTTCCGTCAGCCCAAGGCTTATTCATTTCACTTTTGGTGTGAAAGGGCTTTTACATTTACAAAAGACTTAACTTTTTTACATTAAAAACAAACAAGCAAGCCCAGCCCAGATTAGAAAAAGTAGTGCAAAAGTAACGTAACTCATTACTTCCCATAAAAAGTAACTAAGTAACCCAATTAGATACTTTTTAGGGAGTAAAGCAATATTGTAATGCATTACTTTTAAAAGTAACTTTCCCCAACACTGTTTAGGACTATTCAAGGCCACCCAGTAAGTGAGACAAGTTTCATTATTTTGCTATATATAGTGCCATGGACTACCAAAGACTCCCATATCCTTTGTGTCATTGCAGTTACACCAATGATACAATGTTGTTTCTGTGTCTATGTGGTGTTTTTAATCTGCTTTAAGTCAAACCATGTGCGAATTCATCAGTCAGCAGCATTGTTTAGTATTTTCCCATTAAAATCGCAACGAACCAAAGACAGACTTAAAAAACCTAGCCCTGTTTACTGTCACAAACATGTAACCAATCATGTCAATTGCATATTCAAGAAACCATGTATACTAAATGAATCAAGGTTGTAGTGTTACACTCAAGTAATTTTAGGGCATAAGAAATTATTTTCACAGGGAAAAAACGTTTCATTATGACATCTTGATGATAAAAGATGAGTTTAAATTAATAAAGTTATTGACTACAGCGGGACTAATTTAATAGTCTGAACTCAGTTATTGCATGTATACCAAACCTCACAGTGGTGTTTGGTCAGAGCAATGTCCCTGTGATGTTATTGAGTTCTAACAGCTCATTCACATGTTGTAGAACCACTCACATCTTACCTCGAGTCTTTAAAATTCCTCTGGGTCCTCTTAGAGTTTCTTCAGTTGAAGTCCCAATCTCATCGGCTTTGGGTTGTAACATTCCCTATATTTAAAGAAATGGTTCATTAAATCTTCCACAGATTTTTAAAAATCTCTAATCCATTGAAACACATCTGGTTAGACTTTTGCATTTTGTCTGAGCTGAGGGAATGTATTTACCTCTGCATTTACCACAGCAAGATACGCCAGCCAAAGGCATGCACATATGTAGATGCAGTTTTGCTGCTTTAGGTACATCAAGAGTGATGTCATCTTAGAAAAGTTAATGAGGAGACCTGATGGAATAAAAGTCAATGGAGAAGAGCCTCAGTGCACTCAATTAACTGATTTTGAGTCAATCTATTTGCCATGACAAATTTGTTTTGTGGAAAAAAAAAATATTCTGGAGGTTCAGTGAAAATTAGAAAAGATAAATCATAAGAATTATGAAAGATAAGATTTATCCACTTCTGTGCTTGAAACATGTAAAACATGTAGCACAGTTCAAAACACTGAAATGAACCAGCCAAATGAATTTAGATTGGTTTCTATGGCAGTGCTGAAAATACTATACAAATTAACCTATAAAGGTGCAACTTTATAGTCTCTCAAGTTTCAACATGACAGTTTCAATATTTGTTAAGCTTCTACTCTGAAAGGCTTGCGTCATATGTTCCTTTTAGTGAAAATGTTGGTGTAGATTGAGTTTTCATGAAAAAAAAAACATATAATACAATTCAAATAACTTCATTTCATGAATTCTCTCAACATTTTACATTTCCTAATAAATATGGATGGTTATTTAATTCATTTAAAACAAATCCAGTATTTAGGAATCCAAAGACATTCTTTCCTTTAGTTTGTTTGCAGTCTAGTGAAGTTTTTGAATTGTAATAGAAACATGTCTCTAAATCCCCTGTGATCCACTTGAGCTCTAAACGGCACATTCACACTAACATTACCTGTTCATCTTGTTTCAAAATGATGTATTACCTGCAGTCTCTGTGTGTTCTTGGTAAGTTAAAAGATTAAATCTTCTGGTAATGTCATGGGATTTCTGTAGTGATATTTATAATCAGAAAAAAAAAAAAAGGCCTTTTGCCCTCATGGACCCGGACTCTGCTTAGTGCCTCCACTGGAGCATCACAGCGCAATATTGTGAGGTCAGAGTCATTCGTGTTTGTGCCCCCAAAAAAGGCAGAGAAGTGAAAGGTTAATATGTGAAGTTAAAACAGATTATTATAGTGACTAGAGCTTTCAGTGGGACTGCATGGGTTTAATGGTCAGATGAGACCAAAATAAAGCTTGGTGGAAAAACACCAAACTCTTTAAGTTAAAGTAAAAGCTCACTTCGTTTGAGGGCATTTGACATTCCAGTATTCAGTGAATTTGCAGAAAACTCTATTTGCAGAGTTTGTTTTGCTGTTAATATTTAGCTTATTTTCTGCTTATTATTGAACTTGTTTTCTGTGTCAAAGAACAGTTTTGCAGAGCAATGCACTTTTGTCATCAGACTATAATGTAAAAAGCCACTGATGTTTGCACTTGGATGGACCTGGAACAGGTTTTGATAACCGCTTGGTTTTCCTCAGTCTACTGTTTGTTATGGGAAATGCATTCAGTCTCACCTGAAGCAGAGATAAAACGAAAGCCAAACGGAGAAAAAAAAATAGAGAAATAAAGAAATAAAGAAAGAAAAAGACAGATATCCAGAAGCAGAGGGAGGGAAATGTGCAGCTCTAAACTTGTGCTAAATTTAAATAAAAACATAATTATAACCATTCAGTAGTACTCAGTGTTTGAAATATCATGATACATATGTCAAGAGAAATATCATCATGAAACACTCATAATACAGCACATGACCTACATGTCCAGGCCACTTTTCAAGCAGTTCATGATAGCTGCTGCTGTGCAGAAATCATTCCCTGTAGCAGCACTGAAGGGACACAATTCACTCAACACATGGTTAGAGAGATGCAGTCTGAAAAACAAAACAAAACATTGTCTTGTACAAAGTGACGTGCTATCATTTCGCACCCTAGGCAGTGTCTGTGTTGCCCATCTAGTAGGCAGAGTGCTGTATATGAGCGGACAATGAGCCGAAGGAAGAAAAAGGCACCAGATCAATGTGATGAATATATTATCTTACAGTAATTAGGTGCATAAAAATTGTCATAAACTAAACATTTATCTAATCAAAAAATCAATATCTAAGCCCTGTCAATGTTCATAATAATATTAATTTGATTTGCCTTGTGCTCATGAACAGAAATTCAGACTTCAGTGAATGAGCGCCGCCACGCACGCTGAGGGAATGTATTTACCTCTGCATTTACCACAGCAAGATACGCCAGCCAAAGGCATGCACATATGTAGATGCAGTTTTGCTGCTTTAGGTACATCAAGAGTGATGTCATCTTAGAAAAGTTAATGAGGAGACCTGATGGAATAAAAGTCAATGGAGAAGAGCCTCAGTGCACTCAATTAACTGATTTTGAGTCAATCTATTTGCCATGACAAATTTGTTTTGTGGAAAAAAAAAATATTCTGGAGGTTCAGTGAAAATTAGAAAAGATAAATCATAAGAATTATGAAAGATAAGATTTATCCACTTCTGTGCTTGAAACATGTAAAACATGTAGCACAGTTCAAAACACTGAAATGAACCAGCCAAATGAATTTAGATTGGTTTCTATGGCAGTGCTGAAAATACTATACAAATTAACCTATAAAGGTGCAACTTTATAGTCTCTCAAGTTTCAACATGACAGTTTCAATATTTGTTAAGCTTCTACTCTGAAAGGCTTGCGTCATATGTTCCTTTTAGTGAAAATGTTGGTGTAGATTGAGTTTTCATGAAAAAAAAAACATATAATACAATTCAAATAACTTCATTTCATGAATTCTCTCAACATTTTACATTTCCTAATAAATATGGATGGTTATTTAATTCATTTAAAACAAATCCAGTATTTAGGAATCCAAAGACATTCTTTCCTTTAGTTTGTTTGCAGTCTAGTGAAGTTTTTGAATTGTAATAGAAACATGTCTCTAAATCCCCTGTGATCCACTTGAGCTCTAAACGGCACATTCACACTAACATTACCTGTTCATCTTGTTTCAAAATGATGTATTACCTGCAGTCTCTGTGTGTTCTTGGTAAGTTAAAAGATTAAATCTTCTGGTAATGTCATGGGATTTCTGTAGTGATATTTATAATCAGAAAAAAAAAAAAAGGCCTTTTGCCCTCATGGACCCGGACTCTGCTTAGTGCCTCCACTGGAGCATCACAGCGCAATATTGTGAGGTCAGAGTCATTCGTGTTTGTGCCCCCAAAAAAGGCAGAGAAGTGAAAGGTTAATATGTGAAGTTAAAACAGATTATTATAGTGACTAGAGCTTTCAGTGGGACTGCATGGGTTTAATGGTCAGATGAGACCAAAATAAAGCTTGGTGGAAAAACACCAAACTCTTTAAGTTAAAGTAAAAGCTCACTTCGTTTGAGGGCATTTGACATTCCAGTATTCAGTGAATTTGCAGAAAACTCTATTTGCAGAGTTTGTTTTGCTGTTAATATTTAGCTTATTTTCTGCTTATTATTGAACTTGTTTTCTGTGTCAAAGAACAGTTTTGCAGAGCAATGCACTTTTGTCATCAGACTATAATGTAAAAAGCCACTGATGTTTGCACTTGGATGGACCTGGAACAGGTTTTGATAACCGCTTGGTTTTCCTCAGTCTACTGTTTGTTATGGGAAATGCATTCAGTCTCACCTGAAGCAGAGATAAAACGAAAGCCAAACGGAGAAAAAAAAATAGAGAAATAAAGAAATAAAGAAAGAAAAAGACAGATATCCAGAAGCAGAGGGAGGGAAATGTGCAGCTCTAAACTTGTGCTAAATTTAAATAAAAACATAATTATAACCATTCAGTAGTACTCAGTGTTTGAAATATCATGATACATATGTCAAGAGAAATATCATCATGAAACACTCATAATACAGCACATGACCTACATGTCCAGGCCACTTTTCAAGCAGTTCATGATAGCTGCTGCTGTGCAGAAATCATTCCCTGTAGCAGCACTGAAGGGACACAATTCACTCAACACATGGTTAGAGAGATGCAGTCTGAAAAAAAAAAAAAAACATTGTTTTGTACAAAGTGACGTGCTATCATTTCGCACCCTAGGCAGTGTCTGTGTTGCCCATCTAGTAGGCAGAGTGCTGTATATGAGCGGACAATGAGCCGAAGGAAGAAAAAGGCACCAGATCAATGTGATGAATATATTATCTTACAGTAATTAGGTGCATAAAAATTGTCATAAACTAAACATTTATCTAATCAAAAAATCAATATCTAAGCCCTGTCAATGTTCATAATAATATTAATTTGATTTGCCTTGTGCTCATGAACAGAAATTCAGACTTCAGTGAATGAGCGCCGCCACGCACATGCGCGCCAAACAGACGGAGCACAATAATTGTGTCATATGTAGAATTTTTAACTACATGTAAGTCTATTTTATGATAGCAGATAGCAGTAAAGGTGTCATGGCTCTCGTGGGAGATAGGGGATAGGCGCACGGAGATGGAGATTATTCAAAATAGCATTTAATAATAATCCAAGGAGAAGAGGGAGATCCAAGAACACACAGGGAAACACAAGCTAACATAACAATAAACAATAACCGGCAAGGAAGGACTGAAAGGGAGCAACGAAGATCTGTTTCTCACCAGTACCCACTCCACAAAGGCGGCAAAATTCTCCCAAGGACCATCTCCGGACAACTGCGCTCTGCAAGCGGTGTTGAGGCTCCTGTGCTAGAATGAGCAGAGGCAGTCATCCGGGTAGCTGGTGTAATTAGCTATTTCAACGAAGAGTCTAGTATGGTCCTCGAGAGTGTTTCCCCTGCTCCAGCAGGAGGAGGATGAATTTGGGATGGTGGGTCATAACAGAAAAAGAAAAACTTTTAAAAATGAAAACAAAAAACGGGGACACACGCCACTAAACTTTTTGTGGCCCGTTATTCTGTCAGGGCTCTCGTGAGAGATAGGGGATAGGCGCATGGAGACGGAGATTTTTCAAAATAGCATTTAATAATAATCCAAGGAGAAGAGGGAGATACAATAACACACAGGGAAACACAAGCAGCTCACATAACAATAAACAATAACCGGCAAGGAAGGACTGAAAGGGAGCAACTTAAATACACAGGCCAGATGAGGATAATTATCGATCGAACACAGACAGAATGAACTAATAAAGGGAACTAAGGAAAATTAGGTCAAGGGACTGAAACAAAGCAGGAGAACAGAAAAACACAGAAAACAAGGATCAAACTGTGAAAAACGGGGTAATCAAAATATTTAATCCAATCAGTCTGTGCTCTTGTGTTTATTTTCTTTCATTTTTAGTTTAGTGAATTGAACTTCTGCTATAAAAATCATTATTTTTTGTTTTTAGATTGTATTGTTACAATGTTAGATTATGTGATTTTAATTAGGTAACCCACAATAACAAAAATAATTACAATAAA